TTCAAATATATGAAAAAATCAAAAAAATAAAAAAAATCGAAAAAATAAAAAAAATCATGATTTTTTTATAAAAAAATCAAGTGATTTAATCACGTGATTTAATCATTTTGATTTAATCATTGCCAACCCTGCCGCCAGATCCACCTGATCTGTCGCCTACCTCTTGTGGTTATTCCTGCTATGTGATCACCTATCTTGATATGAGTATTCAAGCGTTGGAGTAGCTGACTCATTTCGGAGCAGCTGACTTACTGCCTACAACGATGGATGAAACGTCGCGTTCACTCCTGCAGGCAGGAACAGCACAGGCACGCGCTGCTGTGCTCTTCCTGCCTGCCGGAGTGAACCGGTCTTGTGAGGGCGCTGTGCGTGTGTTCATGTGAGGGCGCTGTGCGTGTGTTCATGTGAGGGCGCTGTGCGTGTGTTCTTGTAAGGGCGCTGTGCGTGTGTTCGTGTGAGGGCGCTGTGCGTCTGTGTTCTCACCGTGCGCGTGTTCTCCTCATCTCACTTGCTCGCATATAACTCTACACGGGCTCGTATCTTTAAATAAGTTCTCATATGCTCGTACTTGTTTTCTTACGTGCCCGGAGATATTTTTTACGCACATGCAAGTCTACAGAGGTAGCAATATGTCTTCATAGGCCGCAATATGTTCTGTCACTTACATTTCCGGGTGGAATTCTTGGATAGGAAGGTTCCTTTAGTCCCAGCAGATGCATCATGCGCTGCACCTGCGTAGCGGCCAATGCTCTTCAGGGCTGGTCTTGAGTTAACCAACTAACTCCAACAGGTCTAATGTTTTATTAAAGTTAGAGTTACAGGGGATGACTGATTTATTTTTTAAGTCTTTAAACATTACGTTCAACAAAAGGTGATTTCCCCATGAATTGCCTTGATCGTGCACTTATGTTACTAATTAGATAATTCATCTAGGTATATGAAAAGGAAAATTAATCAAGGAAAATTCATCTAATCCCGCGGCTCCAGAAATATCGGGAAAGCTCTAGTCGAGGCTAAACAAGTAGATATATTCCAGTCCTGCCTGGTTGTGGGTCTCTGACGATCATGATCATGACTCATAGTCTAATATCCAAGGAGCCGTGGTTCTGTAATATTTACTTTATAATGTAATAATTGCCCTCGTGTGACGCACTCGTATTGTGCAGGCAAGAGCAAGACGAACGGTACAGCGCGGGGGGCGGGCGGTGGAGGGTCGCGGTCGCCGCCCCCTGAGCGCCCCGGACGCAGCAGACTGGCGGCGCTGGGGCGGCTCTTCAAGCCCTGGAAGTGGCGGAGGAAGAAGAAGTCTGAGACCTTCGAGGCTACCAGCAGATGTGGGTGTGGGTGTGGGGGGTGTGGGGTGGCCAGTAGGTGTGGGTAGTGGGCATGGGGTGGCCAGTAGGTGTGGGTAGTGGGCATGGGGTGGCCAGTAGGTGTGGGTAGTGGACATGGGGTGGCCAGTAGGTGTGGGTAGTGGACATGGGGTGGCCAGTAGGTGTGGGTAGTGGACATGGGGTGGCCAGTAGGTGTGGGTAGTGGGCATGGGGTGGCCAGTAGGTGTGGGTAGTGGGCATGGGGTGGCCAGTAGGTGTGGGTAGTGGGCATGGGGTGGCCAGTAGGTGTGGGTAGTGGACATGGGGTGGCCAGTAGGTGTGGGTAGTGGACATGGGGTGGCCAGTAGGTGTGGGTAGTGGGCATGGGGTGGCCAGTAGGTGTGGGTAGTGGGCATGGGGTGGCCAGTAGGTGTGGGTAGTGGACATGGGGTGGCCAGTAGGTGTGGGTAGTGGACATGGGGTGGCCAGTAGGTGTGGGTAGTGGGCATGGGGTGGCCAGTAGGTGTGGGTAGTGGGCATGGGGTG